TCATAGGTTCACCATCACTGGTCTAGAGAGCAGTATATTAAAAGAATGACAACATCATTTAAAAAAAAAAAAGCCAGCCTCAAAGATTCAACACTGCTTGATTCCATTTTATATAACATGTTTGCAGTGAAAGAACTATAGAGATGGAGATCAGATTAATGGGTGCAAGGGCACAGGGATCGAGGAGATAGTGGAGTGCAAGCATAAAGGGATAGCTCCAGGGATTCCTTTGTTCCTTTGGGATTGATGGATGCCTGATTGTGGTGGTAGATAGACGAATCTGTACATCTCTGTTACATAGAACTACACATACACAAATGCATGCATTACGAAATAGTGAAAACTGAATAAGGTTGGCAGTCTGGTTAATATTCTATCAATGCCAGTTTCTCAGTTTTGATATTGTACTACAGTTATATGAGGTGCCAGCCAGCATTGGGGGGAGCTGGGTGAGGGGTACATGGAACTCAGTGTATTATTTCTTCAGTTTGCCTGTGGATCTATCATTATTTCAAAATAAAATGGTTTTTTGAAATTGTCAGTTTATGTTCATGCATTGTTTTATCTTATTGCCCCTCTATTTCTCAGGGACATGTTGTCTTAACAGATTTTGGGCTTTGTAAAGAAGGAATTGCTATTTCTGATACCACAACGACATTTTGTGGAACACCAGAGGTAAGAAGGATGTCTCATTTGTCATTCACATAATCATGTATAAAATGAAGAGATGAATCACAAATTGCATATACAAAATTTGAAAACTAGAATAAAACCTATCATTTTAGCTTCTGCCAGTTGGAAATATCTGATAATCATTTCTTTTAAATAAAGTTTATTGATAGTTGGTATTTTTAACTGTGATAGTGCGATACCACCACCAGATAACACACCAAAGATATAAATTATGCTTGTTTTATTGTTTACCTTAGACTTCTTCTTTTTTTTTTTTTGTTAACCTTCACGCGAGGATATTTTTCCATTAATTTTTAGGGAGAGTGGAAGAGAGGGGGAAAGACAGAGAGAAACATCAGTGTGAGAGAAACACATTGATTGGTTGCCTCCTCCATGTGACCCGACCAGGGCCCGGGCCTTGAAGGAGCCTGCAACCAAGGTATGTGCCCTTGACTGGAATCGAACCTGGAACCCTTTGGTCCACAGGCCGACGCTCTATCCACTGAGCCAAACCGGCTAGGGCTACCTTAGACTTCTTTAGGCATTTGATTTTATTTCTAATGCTTCCAAATAAAATCACAAATCAGTGATGAAAATATCCTAAAGTTGTGATAATGTTTGCACAACTCTAAATATATTAAAAACCATTGAATTGTACACTTTAAATGGGGGAATTGCATGGTTTGTGAATATCTTAATAAAGCTCTTTTAAAAATAAGCTGAAGCAAAGATGGCAAGAGATTGGCATTGCTTCTATTTAGATGGCAGCTTTATTGGTTTCTATTATAATTTACTATTTTTATGTATGGTTAAAATATTTTATAATAAAATAAAGTGTTTATTTAACAGAAGAAAATAAGACAGAGGATATGGGGGGAAATTCACAAATCAGAATTCATTAACCCAAACATCCCACTCTCTAAGCAGAAATGTATCTTTCTATTCGAGATAATAGTCCTTACAATTTATGTTAAAGCCTTCTTATTCTCTCTCTCTCTCTCTCTCTCGCTCTCACACACACACACACACACACACACACACACACACACACACAAATTTTAATGTATTTATAGTGATTTTAGGTGCCAGGTAGCATTTCATCATTATTGCCGAATAATAATTTTGAAAATGTGTGATTGTTGAAAATGTGTGATAGACTGGCTCACATGACACTTGTAATCAAGATCAGAAACATAAAGTAGCTGTAAGCAACAATATTTACTTTAAAATGTATTTTTTTTTCTTCCTTTCTGTACTCTAACCTTGTTCTTGTGTATATTTGTGACCATTCTATTTTGGTTTATGTGAAGAAACATTTTTTGTGAATGTATATTGATGTCATAGTTAACAAAATCTTTTAAGTCCTGTAGGTTTTAGAAAGGAACAAGTTCTTTTGCCATCTAAGTCTAAATGTGGTCAGAAATTAAACTTTTAATTTATTTTGCCATTTTTTGGAGCATATAAAAAAGCTTAAGAAGAAATCATTTCCTTATTTCATATGGAAAAGGAAAAAATATTTTTTGGAATCTGAAATTCAAATTAACCATCTTATATTTGTGAAATGGTTATGAGTTTAAGTATTTTATAAGTTAAAGTGTAAATAGCTGTGTAGTAACTTAAACATTTGTAAATAATATGTTAGAGAATTACAGTTGTAATTTCCTAAGAAGAATGCAATTAATTCTTTTTCTTTCATTGAAAAAAAAAAGAATTATAATTGCCACATTAGTAATCCTTTCTTTGGGAGAAACAATTATGAGTAATAACCAGAGGAATTTTTTAAATATATTTTATTGATTTTTTACAGAGAGCAATAGAGAGGGATAGAGAGTTAGAAACATCAATGAGAGAGAAACATTGATGCCTCCTGCACACTCCCTACTGGGTATGTGCCCGCAACCAAGGTACATGCCCTTGACTGGAATCGAACCTGGGACCCTGAGTCCACAGGCCAGTATTCTATCCACTGAGCCAAACCGGTTAGGGCCGGAGGAATTTTTAAGATAAATTAATCTTGTAAAAGATTTCCTCCTCTTCCCCTCCTCCCACACATGCAAAGTACCTACTTTGTATTACAGTTTCTACATTCGCTGCCCTTTTCTGTTTGTCTTAACTGCATCACAGTTTCTGGGGAAATCTTTGAGTATGTGTATTTTGAAAAATGTCCCAATGGATTTTGAAGATTCACTGGTATAAAATGAAAATTGGAATGAAAATGGAAATACCCAACCAATTTAAAATCTAGATATGTTTTTAGCATAATAGTAATACCTAAAATTTGTTAAATTTCTCAATTATTTCCAAACTTTGTCTTGTTTATTGAGTTGCACTAATATTTCATCTTTTCTGTAGTACCTAGCACCTGAAGTGATCAGAAAACAGCCCTATGACAATACTGTAGATTGGTGGTGCCTTGGTGCTGTACTTTATGAAATGCTGTATGGGTTGGTATGTATTTCTACTCTTTCATTATTTTCCCAATATATTATAATTGATTTGCATTTTCTCTTTTCTCTTTCTCTTTCAATAATCTTGTGGACACTTAGATAACATTAATAGAGTAGTAGTAACATGGTAAAAATGAGTCCAAAACCATGTATGCACAAAAAGAAAAACTTACATTTTGTTAATAGTTTTTAAATGTAATTTTTCTATCAGAGTAATTACTGCTTCAGGTATTCTCCTCCCTCTCTCATTTTGTTGAAATCGACACATAGTTGTAATATTAAAATTATCCACTTTTATTCAATTTACCCTAGTCATCATTCTGCCTAATTTCAAAAAGATGGAAAGAAAAAAAGATGTTTGTATTTATTAGAAGATAATGCCTTTTGGGTTTTCCTTTGTATTTTGTTTTTATAGGATTTAATTAATACACTGGTGCTCCACTTTTTCCATCACTGAGAACCATCTCTTCCATTCACCGTATATACCATGTCTTAAGATTTCATTTTTTTAAAAAAGGGATGTTTACTATGTAATGTTTCCCCAGCTAGAGCTTCTGATTAACATGAGTACATTTGTTTTGCTACATTGAGTTAATACTCCAACCTAAAGCAAACAATTTAGGCATTTTAGTGGGTTTACATATCCTTGTAGCAATAATGTACGCTTTTATTTAGCCTTTTGGAAATAGTTGGAATCTTTTCTAGGCTCCCTTTGTGGTCCCATGAGTGTCCCGTGGCCTCAGGCTGGGAACCATCCACTCATCCCCCCTGGTGCTGCCTCCACTAAGCTAAATAACACCATCATCTGAGACCTGAGCTGGGGCTTGTTATTTTGTTCTGCTTTTTGTTTTGTATTCCCCCTCCCTCCTCCCTGAAAACTGGGGAGCTCTCAGTACATTTAGGAGCATTTGTCTTATGTTGCTAACTTTGAATGATAGATTCTCATGACCTCCAACACTGTCTCTTCTTTGCTCTTGATGAAGATCCACTTGTTAAAAGATCTAGTTTTCCGGTTATGCCAGTGACGTAGAACACCTCAAACCCACTTTATACCTTACTTTAAGTGTTGGATAGTTGCCATTAAGATATCTCTGAGTCCTTTTAATTTCTTTAGACGACTTTGAAAGCATAAAATATTATCATTGTGTATAAAATGCAGTTGATTCGAACGGGAACATTTGAAACATATACTGGTACTTCATTAATTAACTTATATTAACTATATTAAAATCAAGCTAGATTTTAAAAAGTAAAAAATAAAGTTTTTCTTCCTGCAGAGTACACCCATAATGCCACAGTACTTAGGAAGGAGCATGATCTTTAGGTCTTCATCTTTTCAGGCAATCTCTGTTTTAATTTATTTATTCCCAAGTCTCAAGAAATTATTTAATGTTGAATCTCTGTTTCCAATAATTCTATCATTATGCCCATGATGAGGTTGGTGGTGGTTTTCTTTAAAACAGATACTGTTGAAACTTTTATACAATTGATACAATTGACACCTGTGTTATTGAACAGACTGGCCCTAATTCATTCAATGCACATGCATTAAGCTCTCTGTGTGCTGGGTTTTAAAATCTCTTTGCATTAGAAGGCCACACTGCACCCAAAGACGCCTGTGTATTTCTTTTGTCCAGACCCAGTCTGCTCCCTATAGGTGAAGGCCAAATCCAACTATTTTAACCCAAACATTTTGGCATAGTTCAGTTCACACTAACTTTATTTTACTTTTTTTCCCCCCCAGCCTCCTTTTTATTGCCGAGATGTTGCTGAAATGTATGACAACATTCTGCACAAGCCCCTAAATCTGAGGCCAGGAGTGAGCCTCACAGCCTGGTCCATTCTGGAAGAACTCCTAGAAAAAGACAGGCAAAATCGGCTCGGTGCCAAAGAAGACTTTGTATGTATATCTCTCCCACTCTGTTTAAGCTTATTTATCCTTTGAAGATAAAGCCTTATTTTATGTGGTATTTGATGGGATGAATACAGCTCTTAAAGAAGAGCACCATGAAAACGCGTAACTTGTCCCAACAACTTTCACCAGTGTTTATACGTACAGAACTATACAGGGTTTGAGCACTTGCATCCTTTCAGTTGATCTCTGTAACAGTACCATCCTCTCCTCTTCGTCTGTCACATCCAGCTTTCACACTCTTATTATTTATTTGATTTTTATTTATTAAAATTTTTCTCCTCGCCCTTCTTTTTTAAAAATTTTTGATTACCTGAACTTTTAGATCATGTTATTTAACAAGAATCTAAGTCCTTCCTGACCACATGAGGCGGTGCAATTTATCTTGAACCAACATGAAATCACTTTTTTCCCCCTGAGAATTTGGTGATAACCTCCTTGAGATAGTTATGGAGTCTGTGGGTTTGGTTTTTGTTTTGTTTTTTTAAGCAGGGTAATTAGATTGCTAGTGTAACTTATCTTAGTGTGTCAGTATTCAGGAACTGTTGAGCAATAAGAACTTTTAAGTTCATTTAAATTTCTCAGAAATTCTTTGGGGCTGTTGACCAGTTTGAACGTGAGCTGTGAATAACAAACTTGTCTGCTACTGACCTTCTCCTCCTACACGTCCCAGTTCGGCAGATGGCTCTGTCAACAGTTCTCTATCCAGCTTTGATTCCCGTCTGTTGTTTCAGTCAGTCTTGCTAATACTTCACACCTCCGTGCCCCGTGGTCCTTTTATTGAATTCAGAAATCGCAACCTGGATGAATTCAACGGTCATCTCTGGGCTGCTGTTTGTTGGTGGAGAAAGTTTCACAACTGGGCTAAACTTCCAATATGTGTATGTGTGTGTGTGTGTATCTACTACACTAACAAGAAATCTTTGGACACCAGTAAGGTGACACAGTTTTTAAGTAAGTGTTTATAATGAGATGTTTATAGCCACTCACGAGGCCTTTTTGGTCTTCTGGGGTGGAGACGTGGAGGAGGAGATGTCTGTGATTCTAGCAGGAATTATTACCACACAAGATTTCAATGAGTGTTTAGGAAGAACCAAATAGGAGGAAGCACTTTGTGAGGTAAAACTGATCACACAAATGAAAACTTAATA